TATGTTTTCATTATATATAATTTATATAAGAATGATATACATTAGAATGAAGAAATATAAGAAAGTTAACTTTTATCTGTTCTTTGCAGGATTTAAATATCTAGAAAGAATATATATTTAATAAAAATATTGAGTGAATGAAATTATTAAAGCGTTTCCTATAGAAAAAATTCAATAGTCTCTGGCCCTGTTCTATATTTAGTTAATTAACACTGAGGAGGGGAACCTGCTCTTATCAAACTCATCACATCCACGGAATATTCCCTGTAACCCTCAAACAGATGCTATTTCTATTTGCTCACCTCTCACACCCTCATCTACCAGCAGATCTTACCTAGCAGTGGCCATTTGTACCAGGAGCAGCTGGATATGCCTTTTAATTCATTTTCTCAGTTTAAATGGTAGCACTTCTAGAGAATTCCTTAAACCTTTTGTCCTTCCACAAATGCTTTTTTCCAACATTAGAGTGCCACTCTGATATTGACCAGATTCATTTTCTCTAAGTATGAAAGGCAGTTAAGCATTTTCGTAGAAGTCATAAAGAGGTTAGGATATCCGACTGGCCATTTTCTTCCAAAGGTCATTTGGATAGTCTTGAAAAAAAGTAAAAAAAGAGTTTTGAATAGTCTGTCTAAGATACTTGTGCCAGGTTCTCTGATGAACATCAAGGCTCAGGCTCTCATCTGTGTTCCAGCAGTCAGGCTGAGATGGTCCCAGATCTCTCACACACCTGATTTTGACTGGGATATGTTTCTCAGATAGGACTGTGACTGGGAAATGCCTCTCTTTGTCCCTTCCCTGGGGGGGAGTATTTAAGCATGAATGATGTAAAATAAGGAGTCTGGGGAAGGTCATTCCCTAAAGTGTCCCATCCTTTCAATTAAGAAACAGGAGACTGATGTGATAAAAGTTAACCTTCAGTCTGTCTTATTACACTATGAATAAGGAGAGTTTTTAATATCTTTTATTAAAACATGCAATATTTTATTCCATTCAGTATGGTACCTGTTCATTAAAAGATGTTTATTTCATTGTGCAAGGATTTTTAGGTTGACATATTCCTATTTGTTTATTTTTGCTTTTTTTTTTAAAGATTGACTTATTTATGCATACAGAATGGGGTACAGGCCAGAGATGCAGGGTGGTGAGAGGACAGAGACAGAGTGGCGAGCAGAATAGGCAGATCTACGAAGTACACTGCAGAGGGGAGCAGCGGGCGCCTCAGGAGAGGTCTGCCACGCCATGTGGATGACCTCTAGGGCTGGAGATTGAATGAAGCCTCACTGAGGTGGCTGCAGCTAGCTTTCAGTGCTGCATCCTTACCAGTTGTGCCACCAGGGAGGGATAGCCCCCAAAGCTAGCCTTGAAACCAATGTCAAGAGGTGTTTTTACTATTTTTTTTTTTTTATGTATTTTAAGGTTCCATAGCTAACAATCTATTCTTCAATCTAACTTGTGCATGTAGTGTGGAAATGGTGGTTTACTTTCATAATTTTCATGTGGCTGTTCAGTTTTTCTAAGACGATTTGTTGAGAAGACCATATCTTCAGTGTATGTTCTTGGCTTCTACTTCATACATTAACTGTCCATATATATGTGTGTGCACTGATAGAAGGCCAGTTGTTTGAGTCAGCAGCACACAAGTGTCAAGCAATTTCTCCAGCAGGAGCCCCACCATCACCCATCATTTAATATCCTGATCATAAAGGCCTTGCACTGTCCCCTGCTTTAAGTTTTTGCTAGTCAAGTCACCCCCCCATGGTAGCGGCAGTCATCTATCTGAGACCAAGTTATACTGCATCATCCTGTAGGCAAGGAAAAAAAAATTGCGTTTCCCACCCCCCAAATAATCAGCATTGAGATTTAATAGGGCTAGCAAAGTCTTCCTGATATCCCGATAATATCTCTCCAGTTTTATATCTTGCTATGTAGGCGTTTACCAGTCCCATGTTAAACAAGCTTCCTAACACTTTGTGGTGGTTCAACAAATTATTATTGAATTTGTAGAATAGTTGTGATCATAACCATTTTGAATATATTAGGTTTCCTGCTTCCTCTTTTTTAAACTCTTGGTTTTGAAATGTGCACTATTCAACTGATGCTTATTCCCTCTACTTATTTCTTTTCTCCCTTTGGGGGCATATTTGTTGTCTTTTACCTAGGAAGTCCTTTTTTATTCCTCAGGTCTTTGCTCCTGTTCCTCAAAAACTTTTATGGGATTCAGAGGTGTCATTTTTAACAGTGGGTTTTCATTTTTGGTCCCATCCAGGGTTTTCTCAGTAGATCTTACATGCTGGCTTCCTTATCACTGAGGCAAAATATTTATCAACATGTCTGATGCATTTCTTGAGTGCCAAAATTTTTGATGATATATATATAGTAGTACACAGAACATGAATGAGATATATTTATTGTGAAATCGTGTATACATGGGGTGATATACTTTAATAAATGACTTTATTAAAGAGATTTTAGGAAAAAGTAAACAACAGAAATATGAGACATAAATCGTTCACATTCACAAGATAATAAAAACTTGTTGAGAGCATCAATTATCACAGTTACTCTTTGTTCATTAACTGAGAACCTGTACTTCAGATATTTTTTAATTCTTAGTTTAAGCAGGATTTCAAACAATACATGTTTTATCTATGAACTGTGCCATTACTAATCATCAAATTTTGAATTGTTTAAGAACAGAAAAAGAACTCCCTTATTTCTATACCATTTATGAGCTCTATACTTCATTGTTTTATGCATCTACTTTTATGCTTCTATTCATGCATTCACTATTATCAACAAGACATTGCTCTGCCTTGTAAAAACAGCTGTCAGTTAATAGACAAATATTTTATGCCTTTCGTCCTACCTGACAATAATATATATATATATACACACACACATACATATCTATCTATCTATCTATATTCAAGTTGAGTCAGCACAA